CAGGGAGGAGGCCCCGGGGTAGGCCCAGGACTCGCTGGAGGGATTATATCTCTCGGCTGGCCTGGGAACACCTCGGCGTCCTCCCCGAGGAGCTGGTGGAGGTAGCTGGGGAGAGGGAGGTCTGGGTGCCTCTCCTGAAGCTGCTGCCCCCGCGACCCGAACCCCAGACAAGCGGCAGATGATGAATGGATGGATGGATGTTTGCTGGTGCCAGATGTGCTGGTGTGAGTATTTCAGAAATTGCTGATTTGCTGGGATTTTCACACACAACCATCCTAAGGTTTACAGAAAATGGGCCAAAAAAGAAAAAACATCCAGTGAGTCGGCGGTTCTCTGGGTGAAAATCCCATGTCGGTTCTTGACTAACTTTAGTGCTGAAAAGGACTTTTTATTGCAACAAGAGGTGACTGGCAGAATGATAATAGGCTGGTAGAGTGATAATAGGCTGGCAGAGTGATAATAGGCTGGTAGAGTGATAATAGGCTGGCAGAGTGATAATAGGCTGGTAGAGTGATAATAGGCTGGCAGAGTGATAATAGGCTGGCAGAGTGAGCCTACTGTAAGTCTGGGTCGGCTTGCAGAAGGTTGTTTGCCACAAGAAATGTATAAAAGCCCATTAAGGAATTTGGAGGACTTTGTTCCCATTGCTGTTTATATACGAACAGCTTGTACTCTGTTTTTGTCTGGGTGGTGGACACCCCCCCCCTGTAAAATCCACACATCTGATGCGGTTGGGGGATTTTCTCCTGTCTGGGGTTTGTGAGGCAGTCTGTCCACCTCAGAAGCTGCAAAGTGTCATTACTGAACATGTCTGTAATGTCCTGTATGCTGAAGTTAATTGTTAAAAAGTTAACTCTTAGTTCCTCTTTGAGAGTAACCTTGGTCTGATTCTTCCTGACTTCATTTTGCTTCTTTAATACCTTCCTACTACTCTTCACCTCCCACTAAACATTGATCTATCAGGCTATAGTGTCTGTTTCCTTCCATATTTCCTCAAACACCTCCTTTATCCGCAGCTGAGATACCTCCAATCTGCAGTCACACACCAGTCCTACAGTTGTGCCGATGTCCATATCTTCTCTTTGAAGATATTTTGATAGGACGCCAGTCACTGTGAAGATTCTGTACAAAGCCACCAGCTGCACGCAAAACTCAGTCAGTGGCCTTGTTTAGGGTCGCAATCAAACTCTTTCTTGTCTGGATCTGACAGGAGCGATGGACAGAAGAACATTGCAATTACTAATCCTGGAAGCCCATCTTGTCACACTAAGAACATGAAATGTTTTGTATTTCCCTGTCTCTGAGTCTCTCGCTACTTGTTGAACCCCAATAAAAAGGCCATGTCGCTTCACAGTGCCTCTCATGAAGGTAGAAACACCAAAGGAATTACATGAAGCTGAAGCTCATGTCCACAACAACAAGGGTCAGTCTCTGGGCAAAGCAAAGCACTAAACAGGCCTTCTCATTGTTCTCCTGTATGACAGCTTGCACACCTCTGTAAATGCCTCTTATATTGTTGGTATACAGGCCAAAGTTTATGTCTGGCTAAGACATTTGGCAAGACCAGCTCCAGCTGTGTCCTTTACTTCAGTGGTCCCCAACCTTTTTGCCATCACGGACCGGTTTTATTCCAATAACATTTCAGCGGGCCGGGGGTGGAGGGGAGGGTGTGTCAAGATACGTGTGGAGACGCGTAACGGTCCCCAACCTATTTTGCGCCATGAACCAATTTCATGTAAAACAATGTTTTCACGGACCGGTATAGAAACAACTAAAAACAAAGTGCATAAAAATACAACTCAGCATCCCGCTGAATTAGTGGGAGCCCTGAGCTTGTTTCCCCCTTACGAGCCGGGTTGGGGGAGGGAGCGGAGACGAGTAACAAAGATAATGAGGTGCGCAATATTTAACTGCAGTAAAATCCCGTTATAACGGACCTCAAGGGACCTGGTAAAACAGTCCATTATATCCATAGGACAACATTTACTCATGCCACACCCCAGCAGACACACTTGTAGTATAGATTATTATATTGTACATGTAGTAATCCAATTTCACCTGACCAGATGTGTGTATTAATGCGTCTGCATTCATGTTGCCCGGTCTTGCTATTCCACAATTGGCGTCATTAACTTCCATCAACCTCTGCAAATTCTGCATGACAGTTTCTCCCTCCTGTTGTTTGCAGGAGGAGATCCTGGTCATGTCCATCCACACAGGGAAAGCCTCCCTTAGTTAGTCCTGGTCAGGAATGAACGATATTCCACATTGACCCCATGATCGTAATCTGAGTGTTGGCGGTGATATTGTCCACCTCAATCTACACTGTAAAAAAAAATGTTCAGCCGACTCAAAAATTTAAGGCAACATGCTGCAATACATTTTTGAGTTAAGCTAGTCAATTCAGTTACAAAAGTTCAACAAACCTATAGACAGAGGTACAGCTAACTTTGACTTCAGAGTTAAGGCAACACTGTAATACAAGTTAGATTAACCTAGATACAAAGTTTCAATAAACTTAGATTGTTAAATTGTCAACACTATTTTGCAAGTTTGAGTAACATAGGTACAGAGGTTTAGTCAGCTTTATTTGAGGAGTCAAATTAAATTTAAATAAACCTGCCTTGTTTATGTGACATTTTAAGAGTTAATGTTTTCATTAACTTTTTTAAATAGCAAGATTCAACTGTAATATTTCAAGTTGCCTTGTTTAGAGTAATAAAAAACTTATATTACCATTAGAACCCACAGAAAAAAGTGTCACAAGGGTGTAGCTGGTTTGACCAAAAATTTTCATGTAGGATTGATGTATAATTTTCTGTAATTTGTTCAACTTCAGTTTTTTAGCTGCCCCATTTTAATATGCGCACAAGAAGTCATGAAGATCAGAAGAGCCATCCCAGATTTACCCACGATCATGAGAAAGACTCTGACCAAAAAGGACCTTACAGCTTTTTCTTTTCTTGTATTGAAGTTTGCTGGCTTAGTTCTGACTGATCTTGGAGATTAGAGAGCAGTGGTCTTGGTGGTTTTATAGCATGTTGAACCTTGAATAACTGAATCTCTGTCTATAGGTTTGTTGAACTTTTGTAACTGAGTTGACTTAACTCAAAAATGTATTGCAGCATGTTGCCTTGAATTTTTGAGTTGGCTGAACATTTATTTTTACAGTGTGGGCAAAGTTTTCTCTTCTTCCACAGCATCCTGCATGTCACTTTTCTTCATTTCTTTCTTCTATTTCTTAGACGAGGTCTTTCTGATACCTGAGGTTGGACATCTACCCCTCAGTCCTAGAGCTTGCAGCTGCCGTCTTTCGCCGTGTTCTCACTGTGTTCTCACCGGACTCACCGGACTCACCGGGCGTTTCCACTCTGGGCGACATTTTTAACTGCTCAGGTCTCAAATTGTTTCAGTCTCTTATGTCTGTATTTAATCTACCTTCCCTGTTGTTTCTTCTTCTATGCTAATACTTCTTCAATAAAAATTTGATTACTAAAAACAAAGAATATATACTAACCGCAGTCTCCATGGTACCCAACGTGCTAAGGAGCAGCCCAGCTTACACATAAGGTGAGCTACAGACTATCAGGTGATTACTGACACGTCTGCTCTTAAAGGAGACACCACTGATGGGTAAATATGCCCCCCCCCCCATCTTTGGCCCCATTAAGCATCATCCTACCACATGCAGCTTCCTGTTTGCCTCCAAAGAGTGTTTTGGCAGAGCTTCCTACTTCCAGTTGAATATGGCCTCTCCTGATGTAACTGTCCCTGTCAGTCTCTCTCTGGGAATCACTAAATCAACCTCCTCCTCCTCTGAAGCCTAAAAACACTAAATCAACCTCCTCCTCCTCTGAAGCCTAAAAACACTAAATCAACAGCAAAGACTCCACAACATAAACTCAGCACATGATGAGCTCCTCCTGCCTGATTGCTACAGTAGCTACATGCTCACCTACAGTCACAGACCCTGTCGCTCCTTCTGTCCTGTTTGCTGCTTGTTCTGTCTCTGATGCAGCGTTTCCTCAGGCTTCTTTGTTTAACCATGATAATCTAGCTGTGTATTAGACCAGCCTATAGGTGTGTGATCTGTGTCTCACCCCAGTCACATTTCTTACAGGAAATGAATGATACAGTGCGGTAATCAGTATATTAGCTATAGGCTACCTGACACTGCACTCCTTTCATGGGCCTGTTGTCTAGCATACTGCTCTTCACTGCCATGTAAACGTACTGAAGCAAAGGATCATGGTTTGATTACTAACGTCATTCCCATCCTTACATTGTGAAATTAGAAGGAAAAAAAAGTTGCAAATTGAGCACATACTAACCGGTGTTGTTCAGAATTTATTTAAACACCGTAAATACAAGAAAAAAATCTATCACTATTCACTAGCAATGATAATTATATAGTAATTAGATGATAATTATATGCACTGTCACACAAGAAATAGTCTGAAACAAGCTAAATGATCTGGAACCTAAATCTAAAACTCTGAAGGGCCCCGAGCCCCTTCAGTCTCTATCAGCATGACGCCTCTGCCTGCAGGTGCTCTGGTTCCCCCCCCCCTGCAGGTGCTCTGGTCCCCCCCCCCCCCCCAAAACATGCATTTAAGTAAAATGGGGTCAAAAAATGGCCCATTGTGTGTGAGTGGATGTGCCCTGTGATGGACTGGCACCCCACCAGGGTGTACCCTGCTCTGGGATTTTTAGGGATAGTCTCACATGGGACTGTGCTTGACAAGGGGTTATGATGGATGGATGGATGGATGGATGGATGGATAATGTATATGTTTATTATTTTCTTTTGGCTGCAGGGATTTCAGAAATGTATTTTTTCACAATTAATATGTACATTTAGGCATGTATGATTAAATGCCCAAGCCAAACACTCTGGGATGTGCTTTTCATACCCCAGTGTTCAATAAGGGATTCAAACCCAAAACCCCCAGGTGACAGGCCTGTGCAGGACCAGTGAACACATCTGTGTTTGTACTCTGTCTGACATGAATTTCATGGTGACTGACTCTATTCTTACTTTATTTTAGTTGCTGTCAGTGTTTATCTGGCAAAATACTCAGATCTAGCCTGGCAAGAACTACTTGCAACATTTTCCACTTTATTAATGTTTCCAGTCATCATGGTTTCATTCCCAGGTAAGTATGTTTTCCGGTTTTGTAAAGTATGTATTTAAATTTGTTTTAGACTTTGGAACTTCAGGAACACTAGGGCAGAACTAGGTATACAGGTATTTATTTGCTACACTGTAGTGAATGAGACACACAAACGTCAAACTTTGGAATGACATTGATATTTAAAAGTGTGCTTTTCATAATTAATATCTACACAATTAGGGAATTATGATACAATACCCTACTGAAACACCCTTTCATAAACCATTTAAATCTTCTGTGCACTATTAGTGCAGCATCCAATATGGGATTCAAACTTAGAACCCCAAGGTGACAGTGCTGTGCAGGGTTTCAAACACAGGATCACTGAACACATCTGTTTTTTCATTCTGTGTCTGGTGACTGACACTTATCTTCCCTTATTTCAGTTTGTCTCGGTGTGTTTCGGATAATACACTTAAGATGGATGGGAGGAACAGTACAACTTAGAGACATTCTTGTAATCATGGTTTATTTCCTGTGTAAGTATATTTATGTGGATTTATTTGTACACAATAACATTTATGTCCATTGGCATTTTAAGAATTCTGACCAGAATGAGGTTTAGAGCTGTTTCATTTTCCATGGCACACAGGCTCAGTGAGCAGCACTGCTGCTTCTTACAGTTTTTCTCAGTTGCTTTGGTGCATTTCTCACAACAAACTGAAAAGTTGCATAACAGCAAGTGCATTTCTCAAAACACTAGCAAAACATCATGGATGACCGACAAAAGCAGGTATCCTCTTCAAAATACTTAGTCCATGCCTCAAAAGCGAGTATTTATGTCATTGAATATGTCAGTGTTATCAAAATCCCAAGTCCATGAATCATCGTCCACGGACATGATAGCCAAAATGTAAAGTCATGTTATCAATATAAAATTGGCACAATGTAAACATTT